CGATCGTCACGACTTTTAGCGTCAACTGTTTCTCGGCATTTACTCTAATCATAAATAGTAGAATATACGTTTTTCGTTATAACATGCAACATTAATAAAAAATTATTATAAATGTGTGTAACATATTTTCGCAAAACGGTATATACCGAGATATAAATATTTAAAATATAAACATAAAAATATATTTACATATACATCGTTTTTATCTAACATTCGCATACGAGTGAAAATATAGGTAAAAATATATGTGAAAATATCTATGACTATGAATATTTTTTCTTTACACCATTTTTGTCTTTTTTTCTTTTAATTTTTTTCTTTTGTTATGTATTTTTTCGTAATTTTTATAATTTTAAAGACTTTTTTCATTCATGAAATACATGCAATATGTAACGAGTATATACAGTTTGAAGCACACTGGATGGTAAATCTTCCTTGAGGAGGATGGGAGTGGCATTCTCACCGCTCTTTTGCCACCACGCATCTGCGGTATAAAAGCAACCTGCGTTGCAGCGCTTAGTTTCATTTCGGAGTAGCCGATTGTGAAACGCATTTTCAACGTGAGTACCACAATCTACATAGTAAAGAATCTACTTATACAAGAAAAAAGTAAATTTTATTTTCGATCAAATTTGTGTATTATGTGTATTTCATTGTTACTCAATTACAATTTGTCTCAATTGTCTTTTTAAACATTTTGTGCTTAAAGTGCGACGTATAATATACACATATTTCAGAGAGGAAAAGAAAAATATAAACGTAGAAAATTTTAACGTGTCGCGTCTCTTCACATAATATTTATTTATTTATTTTTTTATTCTACACATTTGTTCAAATTATCTATCAGAAATATTAATTTCACGATATATATTAATATCACGCAATACACACTACATGTAAAAATTTCTATATTTCTAAAAATAATTTCCATCACCCACACACGGTTCCGTCATTATATCGAGGTACAACTTTTTATTTTACGCAATAAAAACTTCTCCATAAATGTTGCTCCAATTTCACGACCTCGATTATTAAGGAGAGATTGGACCAACGCTCTTTGGACATATACCATAGCACACGAAACTCTCGCCAATAACTGGCATCTCATTCCTCTGCATTTTACACGATGACTATTTTATGTTGATGTAACATTTAAATTGCTTTATAATTTTTGTTTCTTGCGTGACGTGAAGCTGATAAATTATGTATAGAGTTGCGAAACTCTCTGTAAGATATTATATGCATCTATATATACATATATATATATATAATATACAGGGTGTCTCACAACTACCGCATTTCTTCTTAAAAACATATTCTTGAAATATTTTGAGATGAAAATCCTAATACAAAAATGTCGAGGCTATAATAGTTTTTGAATTATAATTGGTTAAAAATAATGTGTAATTTGAAAACTATTATAGCCTCGATATTTTCGTATTGGGATTTTCGTCTTAGAATGTTCAAAAGAATCCAGAAATAATAATAGAGGCTATAAAAGTAAAATGGTTTTTTACTTATAAGGATTTAAAGTTAGCTTATAATTAAAAAAATTATTGTAGTCTCGACATTTTCGTATTAGGATTTTCGTTTCAAAATTTCCTCAAGAATATGTCCTTAAGAGGAAATGCGATAGTTGTGAGACACCCTGTATATTTTATTTAGAGTCTTCACCTTTTGTGATCACCTACATATGTTTTCGAAGCCTTTGAATTTTATATTCTCGAATTGCGCGCGCGTTGATTACGTGATTTCAATAATCTTGTCCCTAATTTGTCTCCAGATGAAATTTCACACTATAGTCCTGGCCACATTACTTCTGGCGAGCATGATTGCCGCGTATCCACAGAAAGATGGGCAAATCTTCAGCAATGAGGCGATACGGCAAGCTCAGAATACCTATCTTATCCCGAAGGATGCGACTATACAAAAGGTTCAAGAGGGTATCGAATTGGCCGCTTACGAATCAATCCCCGGGGACCAAAGGATCAATCTCTTCGAGATCTTGGGCGAACATGTGCCACCCGAGGTGGTGAACAATCTTCAGACCCAAATCGATCAAATAGGTCGAAATTAAATTCTTCCTTCTCGCACAATCGTCGTTATCGTCATCATCGTGTCAAAAGTAATTTAAGTGCCTTCGTAGAAAAGTATTTGTAAATAAGTGATTCTCTTGTATCTTGCTTTTGTATTTCACAAAAATATTTTTACGTCTTGTAGAAAATTTCCACTTTTCGTAAATACATTGTATGAGAAATATTTTTATATGTACGTATCATTTTCTGCCTGCGATTACGTTTATGTATATTCATTTACAAATAGATTATTATCGATATAAAAATATCACAGTGTATTTTATAACAAAATACTTTGTATTTGTCTTTCATAATTTCATTGATCTTTCGATAGCTTCATAGGCTATTTAGCATTGAAATAAGTAGGCATTCCTCAAAATGCGCAGTTTGCAGATCGTGAAATTAATCATGTATTCGCGTAAAGATCTCTTAGTCTGAATTATGTATGCTGCTAGCGATATATCATAGAGAAAGTTGCAGAACTACTCATCGAAGAAGCATACTTTCACTTCTGTTTATCATGTTACTGAACGTGACTTTTCTATTCTGTCGTTTATTACATGACACAGCTAAATCGGAAATTTCAACATAATCAAGGCACGATAGGGTTATGAGATCATGTTTTCCGTTTTCTGCTTTGTTAATTTTATTGTCTTATTATTATAATACATATCTATATTGAGAACGGAAGGTCTCGATTCATACTTTTTGTGGAACTTTCACTTTCTTTTATATATACAGCTGTGCATACGTAAATGAGATAGATCTATCAGAAAAATCATTATATAACAATAATACACTTTGATCTTATCCTACTGGTTACAAAAGCTTAATAAAAAATAGTTACTGTAGTTAGTGTTTCTTATTTCATTTTTTTTTCTCAAATTTCTAAACTAATTTCTCGCAAATACATTGTACTCAGATCATATATTTTTCTAGAAATCTATAATACCATCACATAATAATGATGAATTTCTTTCATGAGTAAGTAGGGCTTTTAATAAAAACAAGTATTTTCATGTATCAACATTACATACATTTTGGAATATAAAAACCACAAATGACATTTGTACATTAATATTAAATAACTTAAGAACAGTTTTATTATGTTAAGATACAAATCTGAGAACTATGTAAATGAGTTTTCGGTAATTTTTGAGTCATTTCGGTTTTCTTCATTAAAAATTTCGAATTATTAATCTTTTTTCAGCGTACACGGGCTCGATGAGGAGAATTACAAATATATTTCTATCTTTCTGAGTAACCAAAGCATATAAAAAGTTATATAAGACATATTTTCTTAAATAATATTAAGTATTGTAATCATTAATCCAATAATTTAAAAAATATTTTGAAGTATATAGATTTCAAATTTTAGTAAGCACGAAGAAAAATTCAAGATCCAGATAATGCTATGTGAATCGCACTTATCATTAGTACATTATCTTGCATTTCTATTGTTTTTTTCATAATACTTAAACTCCACCTGAAATATTTATATCAATGCTGTTCTACGTTATGTTTCTTATCGGTACAAGTAAATTTGAGTATCTTTCACACATTCAAAAATATCACAATTCATGAAATTACTTTCTAATGCAACGCTTTTTGAACAAAAAGAGACACACATTCCAAGTTTATCTCATTAATTCATGTGTCTTTATATCTTATGTTAATGTGGAATGAGATACTTAATCTTAAAAACTACTTAATGTTAAATACGTAAGAATTAAAAAAAAAAAGAAAAGTTATATATCCTCCCTGATACTTTGTTGGAGAAATATAATAAAATTGAAATATAATACGCACACATACCTACATATTTTGACGTCGCAAAAAATCTTATGTTATGTGCATTTGAAACCACAAATATAAATATATGATTACAGAGAATATTGATATAAATTTTTTACTGTAAGTTGTGCAGCCGTATTGCTGTAAGTGAAAATTTTATGTACTATAGCAAGAACTAAATGTATACGAAAATAAAATATTCGAACGGCAAAAAATAATCATTAAAAATATAATGCTAATTCGTTTCTATTCTGTTTAATGCAAGAAAATGTACTATTCGTACAAATCGTTATAGCTTAAGAAAGTTTTATTTGGAATCACCACGGTATTTGCTGTAATTTCCTATGTGCTCTTGTATCGATGTGCAAATCTTCCCTCCGCATTTACTTCCTGTAAAAATTTAATAATTAAACATGTAACTAGGTACTTAAAATCAAGTGAGTTATGAACGCTTATTACCATTTATTAAATATTACTTACTTAGATCTCTTAGATCCTTTATAGTTTCTTTCTGAGCTCTGATCATGAGGACGTTTCTTACTGCTGGACGAAGAATGCGATGACTTACTTTTATCATGCTTATCGTGTCTATCACTCTTTTTGGGACTAAACAAACAAATTTCAATTATAATATCGTAAAAAATGTAAAACTTGTCAGTAATCACCTGTGTTTGGATGATTTGGAAGGAGACCCTTTCTTGTGTGAGCCCCCACTCCGTGATCGATCCGTTCTTTAATTATCAAGACTCGATATAATTTCACAAAAAAGAAATTTACTTTACATGAGAATATCTACTATTTGTAAACTATAAAGGATCATTTACCTATGTTTGTCCGATGATCGTTTATCCTTACTGGGTGAACTTTTACTCTTTGAATTTGTGGAACTCTTGTGCTTATGTCTTATATGAAACAAAGAATATCTAAAGTCAATATTTAATAAGAACATTAAAATATTCAATATATCTGTGTATACAATACCTATCTTTTGAAGGTGAAGGGGATTGTCTCCGGTTTGCTTTTTTCTTTTTACTAGAACTATAATCGTCACGATAACGATCGTCGCCTCTTTCTTTGTCCTCTTCGGCCGCTTCTCTTTCCAAATCTGACCAATCTTTTCCTGATTCCTCAGAACTGCCTAATTCTCCATCTAGGAAAAAAAAATTTTAATAATTTAATAAAAATTAAATAAATTAGAAAATACACAAAAAGCAAAAGTTTAAAAAGATAATATAATAATTTCGGATAAAGTACCTTCACTATCACTGTCTTCAGAAGCTTCAGAATATTCAGAATCATCATCAGATTCTTCCTCACTCTCCATATCGGATGGCTGTAAATAGATTAAATATAAATAAAATATATGTATCACTTTTACACATTAATAAAATTTTCTTTGTTTAAATTTCGAACCTCATACGCATCATCTTCTTCCTCTTCTTCATCTTCGACTTCTTCATTTTCAGCATCACTTTCTGGATCCAAGAATGTCCATCCTCCGCTATCAAAGAATCCTTCAGGATCATCTGTTATAGTTTTCATGATTTTCGTCCAATTCAAAGACTGGACACCTTCTGAATATCGAATATCGCACGAACTAAACAACAAATTATAAATTTAATAATTATATAAATTTTATTGTCTACTATAAAGGACAATAAAGTTAATAAGATTAACTTTAATAAGGTCAACTTTACATTAAATAATAATGTCACTTACTTTAACCATTCCTTGACATGATCCAACATATTCATAGGAACGGCATTTACCATCGCTACCTTTCGATGATAATCTTTGAAAACAAAAATCATGTCGAAGTTCTTTAGATGAAATTGTACTCTTTCAAAATGTACCAATTCAACATCTTCCAAGGTAATGACAAATGGAGGCTAAACCCAAACATATTATTAATGTAATATTCTCTTTGCCTTAAAATATTAATTTTGTTTCATCGCAGTGTATTACCCATTCTGTGAGATTAACCAAACATCCACTAGTTGGTTGAAGTAAGACAGTACTCCTGTATGGTGCACCAGGAAATCCCAAGTCCCGAAATGGTGTATCAAATTCTATCTCTTGTTTTGTCATTCCTTCAACCTTTATACGGCACAGACATGTAGCATTACACAATAGAAATAAACGTAAAATTAATAAGCATAATTTAGTAAAATCAAATTTATACACACTTTTTCGCAGAAACTTTTAAAAGCAGTTTTTAATTTATGTCTCAGTTCTCGTTCTGATTGTTCGGCTGCAAGATCGTCACGATCATGCATATGCTGATGTTTACCTAAATCTGTAGTAATTTCTCCAACTTCAGTATAAAACTGCACGTCCACATGTTTCTTTTTACCAAACATAATAGCATGCTAAAAAAGCACAAATATTTATAAATATATATATATTGATATACATAACAATATTCATTCATTAAAAATTAATATCATTCTTACATATTTAAAAAAATATTTGTTTAAGATAAAAATATGATACATACTTTTAGATGGAAATGAAGCAGTATAATCATTTCACCATCGCACGGTTGGAAGAAAGCATTTTTAATGTTATTATAAAGAATGTCTACTTTATCACCGCGTACGGAAGTATAGCGGAATCCATTTGTGTGCGCTTCTAAACCACCAGTCATTCTTTTTGTAACAATATTTGGTCGAATATATAAATCTTTCAATTTTGGATTGCCTTTATTTTGTGATAATATTAAAGTATCTTGTTTTACAAGATCTTCTTTTTCCCTCTCTTCCGCTTCCCTATTTTTGAACTTCTTTTGCACTTCCTTAATCAGCCTAAACGCTGTATTCAAATTTGAAGATGGTGCAGAGATCTCGCCGGGTTCTTTGGTATTTGTGCTTCGATATGTTACTTCTTTAACAAACGTTGCATCAGGTTGAGGGTAAGATCCACCTTCATTTCGTCCCATAGTTGCACCAGGATGAAAGAAGTTTATTCTAAGATACGTATAATCTCCTTCTACTGATTGTGAAATGTTCTTAATTGTTGATATGTGGAAAGGTACTGGAATACCAGCAATAGGTAAAATTACAGTTTCATACTTCTTATCCACATACAACTTCAACTCTTTGACTTCCGGCTCACGTGGCATGTGACTCAAGCTTTTATAAGATACTGTTGATTTACGTATCTTTTCCTGTTCCTTACCACCAGACTGCTGAGCCAATCGAGCTTTAGCAATTTCATTTAATTGTTGAGCTAATTCTTTTTGATGTTGCTTTCTCTTCTCTTCTGAACTATGCTCTGTTCTCAATTTAGATTCTATTACAGCAGTTCTTTTTCCACGTCCTAAGATCTCTGGCTTTGGCTCATTTTCTTTTCCACTTCCCTCTTCTTCTTCATCTTCGTCATCTTTCACATATATACCTATGTTTTTCACCTTCTTCTTCGATGGTGTTAAATTAGAAGCGGGTTGTCCTTCATTCACTATAACTGTATCGCCTATGAAAAGGGCGTACATTTTACCTTCTTTGTCAGTTGCGTCTGGATTGGTAAGATTTGAGAGACCAACGTTAACATTAAATACCATGCCCTTCTTAGCTATTGCATGAATTTTCGGACCCAATAGTAAAGAACTTTCTTTGAATTCAATACCCATAGCAAATCCAAAATTCTTGGTTAAATGATTTAACATTTCTGGTTTCTCATCTTTTACAAATTTAATACCAGCTTCATATACTTCACTTATTTTTGTTCCTGCAACTAACTTTTTTAAGATCTCTTCTTCTAGTTGTAACAAAAAATTATAATTGTCCTATAATAAAATGTATTATAAATTAGACTGAAATCTAATTTCAGTGATATACGCGCGCGAATACATATTTTTTTTCCTACATACCTCAATTATATTTGTGGGGTTAACTAACAGAGTTCTTACTATGTTTGAACAATAATTTTTGTAACGTGCCCCCAATGAGCAAACAATAACACCAAAATGGAGAGTAGTATTTTTATCGCTAACAGCACTGAATTTAAGCGAATAATTTCCACCACTTTGTATAATTGCAGGGTAA